GGGGGGGGGGGGGGGGGGGGGGATGGGGGGGTTAATTAGGCTCTGCTGCTTCTGCGCACACAGCACACTGAGCACACACAACACACTGCATGCACAGCACACTGCATACACAGCACACTGCACACAGCACACACTGCACACAGCACACACAGTGCACTGCACACACAGCACATTGCACACTCAGCTCACTGCACACAGCACACACAGCACACACAGCACACAGCACACTGCACACTCTGCACACTCAGCACACTCTGCACAGCACACACAACACACACAGCACACATAGCACACACACTTAAACAGTATGTCGGACAACACACATCACACACATCGAACAACAGCACACTGCACACATATGTAGAGTCATGCAGACTCTTTTCAAAGTTTGTGAAACAACTGTCACAGAAAACACACCTAACAGTTGCTCTCTCTCTCTCTCTCTCTCTCTCTCTCTCTCTCTCTCTCTCTCTCTCTCTCTCTCTCTCTCTCTCTCTCTCTCTCTCTCTCGACCGTCTTGGCTGATCTAGGCCCAATCGTAATCTGATTCACGGCCACCTTCGCTGCTGCTGCCCCCCTCCGACGTCGGGTCGTCATCAATGACTTGTCTCTTCTTCTTCACCCGCGTTTTTCTTTGTTCCCGCCGGGTACGCGGATCAGCCGATGGGGTGGCCGTTGCAGGTCGTTCCTTACGAGGCCTACCCCGCCCCCTCTTTGGTTTTGATGCTTCTTCGGTTGGTTCCACCACCTTCCTCTTCCTTCCCACAGTGCTCGTTTCCAAGTTATCGTGCTGCACACTCGCAACCAAAGGCGGAAACTCCAGTTTGGAGGGAAGAACGGGAGGTGGGACAGAAGCGGCGGATTGATGTCTTCTTTTGTAAACTTGTGCCACTTCCGGTCTTTGAGCAGGGGCTTCTCCTTCTCCGAGTTCTTCTTCGCGAAGAGGATCGGTGAGCAGATTCTCCGCTTGCTGATCGGAGTCATCTCCCGTCATCTCTGCACTTGCTGTTGCTGCCACCGCTGTTGCTATTTCTTCCATACTTGCTGGTGCATGGAGCGCGCCGTTGCTTCCCCAACCGCTGTCGATGGCCCGCTTGCAGTCAATGCTGGAACAACATCGACTCCCTCTCCTCCTCTTTCCACGTTGCGACGAGGAATTGCCACACGCCTCGCTGCGTCCTCCTCAACGCGCTGCATGACGATTGCATGATCTCTCTTTGCGAGAGCTTGTGCATGAGCTCTCGCAGCCTCGTCCTCGGTCTGCGTGGCATTGCGGCTGTCACAAGTACGAGGCAGCAAGAACTGAAGGTCACTATCCATCTGACCTGCATCCTGCCTCAATGTCATGTCATCTTCACTGGGGTCATCATCGGAGTCCTCGTCCGACTCCGAGGGTGTGCGCAGCGCAAACTCCGCCGTAACAATTTCATCTACTTCATCCTCCTCGTGAGAATCGCCATCATCATCAACTTCTTCCACCTGCGCTTTCCCTTTTCCATGGCATGCACCATCCAAACATTCCACATCCTTCCTTTTCTTTCCTTTCCCCCTCCAAACCAGATCCTCCCCATCGTCGCTGTTGTCGGTGTCGCTGGACTCATCCACCTTCCCCACCTTTAGAACCCTCGCAGATGACGTCTTCCTCAAACGAAGTCGCCGTGCCACCTCCTCGGCGGACATCTCCCCATCGTCGGCGACAATGTCTGGATCTGCGAGAGGCGGCGGTGCATCTGCATCGAAGAAGTTTGCCCACATGTCGATGAAACCCACTTGTTTCTTCTTCTTGATCTTCAGCAGTTGCAGGTTCCAGTGAACATAAACCAATTTGTTTATTGTTTCACTGGACAGCTGGTTCCTTCTCTTCTCATGCACCAAGTCCAATGTAGACCAGTTGCGTTCGCAAGGCGTGGCAGTGGAGCTGCAACTTGTCGTGGCTCTTTCCATGGCAGCTCCACCAATCTGATGCTGTATGATTCTCCAGATCGCTGTCAAACTTCGCGAAGTTGGTCCATAAACTGTCCTGGTCCTTGAGAGGCCGACTCGAATTGCCCCTGGCTCTTTGTGAAAAATCTTCATGGAGTTCCACAAGCGCAGGTGCTCCTTACACCCCCATGTCGCACCCTCACTGCACTAGACAGCAAGAACTTCATTGCATTCTGCACAAGCGGGCTCTTGGGGTCGTGCATCCAGCGAGGGTCCCTTTTGGCCGGATTGAGGAGGAAGTTCAGTGCGTGCACAGGCTGGTGCATCATCTTGCAGCGCTGCCTCACCTTCTTTGCGATGGCTTCCTGCCGCTCCGCCGTGATGCCTGCAATGTTCCTCATCTTCTTAACCAACGCCTCTTCGAAACCCCACAACTGATAGGGAGCAGTGCCGCTCTTGTCCATCTGACGCAGCAGATCATACACAGGTGTCATCATATCCACGGCTGCCTCTACCTCCTCCCACCACTCCTCTGACCGGACTGTCAGATACACCGTTTGAGCTATCTCACGCTTCTTCATGGCAGCCCATTTGATGTCAAGCCACCCTTCCTCCATCATCGCCTTCAACACCTTCTTGCGGTCGAGCAGCCTCTCCAACATCATGTAGACGGAAGCAAAACGAACTTCCGTCGGCATGGTAAGCGTCCTGCTGCGTTCCATCTCCGAACAGTCCTTGAACAACTGCGCTGTCTTGTGGTGATTTTTGATACAGTTCACGATCGTCTTTCCCCTCTTGTGCAGTTCTCGCACCCACGACTCTTCACAGATCCCCTTCAGGAGCAGGTTCAAACAATGAGCAGCACACAACACCCAAGGAATCCGTGAAATATTCACGTCCGTTCTCCTCCTCAAAATTCTAGCTGCATGCTTGTTCACCTCTGCATTGTCCGTACACAAAGCGTTGACTCTATGCACCCCAATCTCTCGAATCACCCCTTCCCACAACTTCGCCAGCGAAACTGCATTCTTCTTCCTCTTCGACATGCCAACTACCTTCAGCATCACTGCCCCGCTCTCCCCAGCAGCAATGAAGTTCATGACGGGGCGGAACTTACGATCTGTGCACCCGTCTGTGATCAAAGTGCAGCCACTGATGTCCCAGCACTCCATCAGCGGCTTCATTGCCTCCTGCGTCTGTTCGTACCCAATGTCAAGCACGACCGTGGCCATCTGCATACGACTCGGCATCTTCACACGCTGCCTCTTCTCCCCCAACTCCAAGTAAAGGTCATGCAGTTCATGAGTCTTCTCCCTTGTCACATAGTTGAAGGGAGCACCGTGCTCGTACAGGTGCATCCCCCATGCAATGTCCAAGCGCTGTTGTGAGGAGTTATTTGTCCACCACCGAATAGACGCCTGTTTGAACATGCCAGTCCCTCGACCTGTCACTTAGCCATCACTGGACGGGACTGCGGGCGTTGCACCACCCTCACGCATGGTGCCTTGGCCGTCCGTTGCACCACCCTCACGCATGGTGCCTTGGCCGTCCGTAACCCCACCGGTCCAGTCCCTGCCGCCACTGACTTCCTCCCTGCCCGGCGCTGTTGGAGGCTGCATGAACTCCCCCAATGTGTCTGCCCGTGCAGCCCGTGTGGTGTCCGTCTCG